TCTGCTCTTAACCTCTAAATAGTTATATTGAAAAAAAAAAACCCACAACAGAGCATTTAACCCAAAAAGCAAATGTCTCTTGGACCAAGCAAGAATCAGATTAAGACTCTGTAACATCTAAAAGATCTTGAAAGACTTCGGTTCAAAGTGGAGTAAGAAAGAAGGAAAATGATTTACGATGAACAGACCAAGCACAAGCCTGAGATTCTACCCAAGATACAAGCAAATAATCTAAGATTGTCGTCCCCTCTGCTAATCTTAGTGCTCAAGAATGGGAAGATATGGATCTGAAGGGTGTCTAATCCACCCCACACAGCCTATCCCTGCCTGACAGCAGCGAGCACAGCCAGTGGGAACTGAACCATCTGCTGACACACGCAGGTCACAGCCTCTCCTCAACGTGAAACAACCCAAACACCAACCAAAAACCAACCCAACCAACCTAAACAACCTAAGCACCAACCAAAAAACCAACCCAACCAACCTAAACAACCCAAGCACCAACCAAAAAACAACCCAACCAACCTAAACAACCCAAACACCAACTAAAAACCAACCCAACCAACCAAACCAACCAACCCATTTTCACTTCACAAGCAGACAGCGAACGGGTCAGGGTGTACAAGACACAATGACCCACTGGCACAGAAGTTCCTCTGAGTGCTGTATGAAAATCATCTCCAGAGCCTGGAGATGAGAGCAGCTCCCCTCAGCTACAAACTGCTCTGAGAGGCTTTTCTGCTCTCCCCGTCCCTAAATGGTAACAGGGGCTGTGTCCAGAAGGCTCTGTTTCAGGGTCAGTGCTCTACAGCTCCTTCCTGAAGGGCCTGGATGTGGCACTGGAAGGCAGATTGATTGTGTTTGGTGACGACACTGAGCTGGGAGGAGCTGCTGACTCCCTCGAAGGTAGAGATGTTGTTCAGAGAGATCTTGACAAACCTGAGGGCTGGGCAATCCCCAGCCATGGGAAGTTTAAGGTGCTCAAGTGCTGGATTCTGCCCCTGGGACGAGGCAGCCCTGGGTGCATGGACAGGCTGGGGAATGGGAGGCTGGAGAGAAGGATCTGGAGGTCCTGGTTGGTGGCAAGTTGGAGCTGAGTCAGCAGAGTGTCCTGGCAGCCCAAAGGGCCACCCTGTCCTGGGGGGCATCAGGCCCAGCATCGCCAGCCGGGCCAGGGAGGGGATTGTCCCGCCCTGCCCTGACCTGGGGCGGCCTCACCTCGAGTCCTGGTGTTGGAGTGTCCAAAGGAGGGACAGGGAGCTGGGGAAGGGTGTGAGGAGCAGCTGAGGGCACTGGGCTGGGTC